CTGCTGGAGTGAGCTAAGTGCTAGTGGGACGTTTATAGCTGCTGGAGTGAGCTAAGTGCTAGTGGGACGTTTATAGCTGCTGGAGTGAGCCCAGTGCTAGTGGGACGTTTATAGCTGCTGGAGTGAGCCCAATGCTAGTGGGACGTTTATAGCTGCTGGAGTGAGCCCAATGCTAGTGGAACGTTTATAGTTGCTAGAGTAAGCCCAATGCTAGTGGAGCGTTTATATTTGCTAGAGTGAGCCCAGTGCTAGTGAAACGTTTATAGCTGCTGGAGTGAGCCCAGTGCTAGTGGAACGTTATAGCTCTTGGAGTGAGCCCAATGCTAGTGGAACGTTTATAGCTGCTGGAGCCCAGTGCTAGTGGAACGTTTATAGCTGCTGGAGTGAGCCCTGTGCTAGTGGAACGTTCATAGCTGCTGGAGTGAGCCCAGTGCTAGTGGGACGTGGACAGTTGCAGAATTAGCTGGATGTTAGGTTAATTCTTGTACTTGCTAGAGTTAGCTAAGTGTTTCCCAGAAAAATTAGGCGAATAATGGAATGAGTTGATTGTCTTGAGTGCGATTTTAACTATCAGGAAAACAGTGAAAGCCGGTGAAAGTACGTGCGTATTTGGCGAACACGAGAGGAGAGAGAGAGAGAGAGAGAGAGAGAGAGAGAGAGAGAGAGAGAGAATGCCACAGTGTTTATATCTTGGGTGATCCTGGGTTAATTGCCCTCTGGGAGAATGATTCGAAAGAAAAATATTTTTATTCAGCTATTACGACTATGGTGGAGTGCTTGAAGATAGTATCAGCGCCCTGCTGGAGTCTCCCGGCTCAGGCTGACATTTTTCACTACGTGAGTGTAAACCATCCTGTCTGGAATATGACAGGAAAACTCTCACGTTTGATGGAGTATGGATGACAGGGAGATCCCTCCTTCCTGTTTGACAGCATACGACAGGCAAACAGTCTTAACCTTACGTCATTATCAGCAACAACAACAGACCCTCACCCACGACCCTCTGTCATTATCAACAACAACAGATGTGTTAGCTAAATACATTTCCAGCTCAAATCTTGCAAAATATTCAGCTGCAGCGTAGCTCGTTTCTTGTTAGTCAGGAATCAAGGAAACATCCCCTTACGCTGTTCAGGGTGATCCACACAGCGTAGTATATCAAATTTTAACAACAAGATATAAATATATTCCTACCAAGTCCAGTCAGGCGCCACTTGAGGACTTAACCAAGTCTGAGTGGGACTGCAAAGCTGAAGCCTCAGTTGTGACCCCCCCAAGTCCAGCTATGAGGAGTTTTACGAGCCGTATAAGTCAGAAAACTTGATCAGTTCCCTGTGGGTCTAGACAGGAGGGCTGAGAGGGGGGTGGGGAAGGTTTGCGAACCAATCCATCGAGAAAACTTGGGCCACATCATCACAAACACAATAAAACCGACAACCTCTCTGGCTCCGGGAGGAAACTTGTTGAAGGAAGGCCACAGTTGTTGACAATTTGATCACCTCCAACTCTGCCTTCCCCTCGCCGGCCAATATACCTAAGTGGGTGATACTTGCACTCTCTCTCTCTTACTCCACAAGTGCTGGACACATGAAGCAAAGGAACTACCTGTCCATTGGAATGAAAACTACCACAGCAAACAGGAGTCTATGTAGGTACATTCATCTCCAGGCAGGATATGGTACACAATGTTTTTATGTAGTGACGTGACAGTCTTATCTGGAAAGCTATGGAAAAAGTTTAGGAGAAAAAGGGCTTCTCGTAAAGTCTAACTCGTGTAATTGGGAATGACTGAGAAGTAAAAAAAAATCTTACGTAGCGATGCTTTACTTTCATCTCTTTCTGAAGAATAATAAAAAATTGTAGTAACGTGGCCAGATTTCTTTATAAACAACCCACAAGTTGGAAATGAGATTCATGTGATGTTTCGTTCCATCCCACGACTTCATAATTTTCCTGGAAGGACCGAAACGTCGTCTAAAGTTTGCTCTGCCAGCTTAAAGTTAGCTGTGACTAATAAGTGAGAGAAGACCTTTCTATAGCACTGGTTTTATATATGGAATTATCACAATTTTATTTAAATACTGACATGAATCACTATTTTTTTTCTCATCAGACAAATTCTGACACTAATAGTAAACTTAACTTTACGAGATTAAAATTCACACACACACACACACACACACACACACACACACACACACACACACACACACACACACACACACAATGCCTAACAGACGACACGGAGTAATGGTAACGACGAATGCTTCAAGATGGGAAAGGGTAAGAGTGGGGGGTCCCTCAAGGATCAGTGTTAGGCCCATTGCTACTCGTAATGGTAGAAAGTGGTGGTGTGGCGTTCGTAAGAGTAGATGACACTGCCTGAGAACATGGATGGCACGGTAAACTATAGGAAATTTTACCTTGTGGCTGAGAGCTTCAGCCTGACACTGTGTCACTCCTCTGCCCATTAGGAAGTGCCAAAGTCATGAGTGCTTTGAGGGAGAGGGGGAGGAGAGAGAGAGAGAGAGAGAGAGAGAGAGAGAGAGAGAGAGAGAGAGACGAGAGAGAGAAGAGAGTAAGATGAAGAGAGAGAGAGAGAGAGAGAGGAGCGATGCGGAGAGAGAAGAAGAGAACGGCGACTAATATGTGTTTCCTCTCCGCATTGCACTTTGACAGTAATATATAGAAAAGGGTCTCGTCTGTGTACACACAAAAAAAACGTGCGTAATCTCTCTCTCTCTCTCTCTCTCTCTCTCTCTCTCTCTCTCTCTCTCTCTCTCTCTCTCTCTCGCTCTCTCTGTCTTAGTGGCTCGGTTCACATCATTTCCTTCCATCTGGAACATTTTATAAATCCTACACCAAATTTCAACACTGGAGAAACACTACAGCAAGCAACAGAAAACACAATGAGTGATGTGGAAGGCTCTGTGTATGTATGTGTGTGTGTGTGTGTGTGTGTGTGTGTGTGTGTGTGTGTGTGTGTGTGTGTGTGTGTGTGTGTATGTGTGTGTGTGTGTGTGTGTACTCACCTAATTGTACTCACCTAATTGTTGTTGCAGGGGTCGATACTCAGCTCCTTGCCCCGCCTCTTCACTGATCGCTACTGGGTCCTCTCCCTCTCTGCTTCCTGAGCTTTGTCATACCTCTTCTTAAAACTATGTATGGTTCCTGCATCCACTACTTCACTTGCTAGGCTATTCCACTTCCTGACGACTCTATGACTGAAGAAATACTTCTGAACGTCCCTGTGACTCGTCTGAGTCTTCAGCTTCCAGTTGTGACCCCTTGTTTCTGTGTCCCCTCTCTGGAACATCCTATCTCTATCCACCTTGTCTATTCCCCGCAGTATCTTGTATGTCGTTATCATGTCTCCCCTGACCCTTCTGTCCTTTAGTGTCGTCAGTCCGATTTCCCTCAACCTTTCCTCGTACGACATTCCCTGAGCTCTGGGACTAGCCTTGTTGCAAACCTTTGTACTTTCTCTAACTTCTTGACGTGCTTGACCAGGTGTGGGTTCCAGACTGGTGCTGCATACTCCAGTATGGGCCTAACATACACAGTGTACAGTGTCTTTAACGATTCCTTATTAAGATATCGGAACGTGTTGTGTGTGTGTGTGTGTGTGTGTGTGTGTGTGTGTGTGTGTGTGTGTGTGTGTGTGTGTTTCAGGAGATGCAGCAGCACTTAAGAGCTCCAACAACAGCAAGAACAGCCATAACAGTAGCAGCAACAGAAGTAACAACACCCGTAGTAATAATAATAACAGTATCATAACAGTAGCATTAAAAGTAACAAAAATAAAATCACAACAGCAGAAGCAACAACAAAAGTAACACCAGAACCAGCAACAGAGGTAACAAAACAGTAACAACAGAAATAGCAACCAATAAGTGCAGCATCACAACAGTAGCATTACCGGCAACAGAAACAGCAGCACAACGGTAACAGCAGAAGGATCCTCCCCACCATGTGTGAAGAGGGGGTTAAAAGGGGAAGGGTGAGCAACTTAAAACACTTCATAAACAGTGCCAACAGCAGCTGAGTGCCAACTCCCAGGGGAACAATTCTGAGCATTTTTAAGCAATTGTGACTCAAGAGACGTTGATGAAAGTCCCAAAGTGTCAGTCTATTCCAGTAAGATTACCTCTCTCTCTCCCTTTCCTCCTCTTCCCTCTGTCCCAGAGTGAGAATTACATCCCTCCCACCAGCCATGTCTTTTCCCATGTCTCGGGAGAGAGAGAGAGAGAGAGAGAGAGAGAGAGAGAGAGAGAGAGAGAGTGAGAGAGAGAGAGAGAGAGAGAGAGAGAGAGAGAGAGAGAGAGAGAGAGAGAGAGAGAGAGAGAGAGAGAGAGAGAGAGTGAGAGAGAGAGAGAGAGAGAGAGAGAATTACCTCTGTTCCATCAACCTCCCGTCCCAGCACTCTCCCATCTGTCCTATTCATCCTGAGAACTGCTTCATTGTTCCCCTGTTCCAGCTGTTCTCGTTAATAACAACAACAATAATAATAATAATAATAATAATAATAATAATAATGATGATAATAATTTAGATTAAATAGCTGTAACTCTCGTTGCTCCCAAGTTAAATATTACAAATCCGTGATAATCTATCAAAGCATCAAGCAATATACATGCAGGCACGGTCAGTCCTTCATTTAGAGACCACGTTTCGGCTCACACAACGGGGGAGGTCCGAAACATTGCCCGTATACATAGAGGAACAGTTGGTCCTACTGCCAGTAGGACTAAAAAAAAGGCTAAAAAAAAAAAAGCAAAATAGACCCCTGACTTCTTTTCCCATTTCTGTTGACAGTTCCACCGGATATCATTGACGAGGAGAGCAGTTCGGAGGTGGTGGTGAAGGAGGGGCAAGACGTCACTTTGGAGTGTCGGGCGAGAGGTTCTCCCAAGCCAGTCATCTCGTGGAAGAGGGAAGATGGCAGCAGAATCGACGTAAACAACGGTATCAACCGTAAGTCTTTCCGTCCACGGTGAGTGTGGATAATAAGTTCTTGTTCTCGCATTCCATTAGTGAAGGTACTGTTTATATTTGTTTAGGATATCGTAGTTTTAATAATGGCCCTGTTTAGAGGGGATTATTGACATGTGGTGACCCAGCAACTTTGTCCCTGAGCTGTGAGTAGCAAGGACTGTGTGTGTGTGTGTGTGTGTGTACACTGGACTGCAAGGATCAGCGGTCAGTTGACCACGTCGCAGTACGGCATCTGTGATCAATTACTCACTGTAACAGTAAACAAGACGCTCGCCCCTTCTGAGAGGGCTTGGCCCCTCAGGGCTGAAAGGGCTGAAGGGGGCTGATACCCCCCTCCTGGAGAAAATTTCTCCACATATGTGTGTGTGTGTGTGTGTGTGTGTGTGTGTGTACTCAACTAGTTGTACTCACCTAGTTGAGGTTGCAGGGGTTGATTCTAAGCTCCTGGCCCCGCCTCTTCACTGGTCGCTATTAGGTCACTCTCCCTGAACCGTGAGCTTTATCATACCTCTGCTTAAAGCTATGTGTATGTGTGTGTGTGTGTGTGTGTGTGTGTGTGTGTGTGTGTGTGTGTGTGTGTGTGTGTGTGTGTGTGTGTGTGTGTACTCACCTACTTGTGGTTGCAAGGGTCGAGTCACAGCTCCTGGCCCCGCCTCTTCACTGGTCGCTACTAAGTCACTCCCCCTGCTCCATGAGCTTTATCATACCTCCTCTTAAAGCTATGTATGGATCCTCGGGGTGGATGTGTATGTGTAATTTTACCCACGTACATCCATCTATATTCTTTATACATAACACAGAAAAATAGAATTTTCTTCAATTTTTTTTACAAAATACAAAATAAAAACTATCCCATCATACATGTATAGTCATACACCAGTCTATACCCTCTTATGTATATAATAATACTTTTCTTTGTAGTTAAGGGGGCGTTGCCCTTTTAACCATTAACAAGTAATGAAATATCTCTAATGGGTTGATATCTACATACAACCCCATTAGAATGATAATTATTGATTTAATGGGCCTTAACATCTTTTTTCTCCCATTTTTAAATCCCATTTATGGGGATTAAGCTCCCATTATCAGAACCATTAACTCTCCCCTTCCCCATTTAGAGAAGGAAAGTCATTAGTGTTGAATTGCCATTATTACGCTGAGCTCCCCTTGCTTCCCCATGAAGGGGGGCTAATGGGTGAGTGGCAGAGCAGGGTGGGGGTCTCTCGACTTCTTCCCATTATTTAAAGGCATCCCACAGGACACTGCTGGTAATTCATCTCTCTCTCTCTCTCTCTCTCTCTCTCTCTCTCTCTCTCTCTCTCTCTCTTTAAAAATACCCTATGTACATTTATTTCCATTTCCTTTCGTTTCCTTATCAATAATAATAATAATAATAATAATAATAATAATAATAATAATAATAATTTATTTAATGTAAAACTATAATATAAAAAAATAAAAATCCGTTGAATCGGCTTAAAATTATTATTATTATTATTATTATTATTATTATTATTATTATTATTATTATTATTATTTTTTTTAAATGCAAATCTAGGCTGGTTAGGGGATAGAAAATACAGGAAACTTTCCTTTGTGTGAGTATCTCTCAGAGTAAGATGGCTGAATTCTTGTGCTTCTCTCATTAAGGAAGTCTGGCCTCTCCTTCTCTCTCCCCCGGGGCTGGGCGTTGGACTGGTCGTGGGGAGGAGATCTCTCCCCCGGGGCTGGGCGTTCGACTGGTCGTGGGGAGGAGATTGAAGCAGGTTGGGCTGTGGTTGTGGTTGGGTTTGGGGGGTGGACTCTGTGTGTGGTATGGTGGGTTGTAGTGGGGGGTACTGTGGAGGGTGGTTTTAGGGTGGCAGTGATGTTGTGATGGGGTGGGGGGATGTAGTTTTGGTGGGGTATAATCTTGAATGTTTGTAGTGGTGACGGTGATGTTTAGTGGTGATAGTGACTGTAGTATGCGGGTTGGTGACGAGACTATAGTGATGGTGGTGTGGTGGTACTTACTGTAGTGTGGGGGTAGTGATTGCTGTGATGTTGGCGGTGTGGCGGGACTATGATGGTGGTAGGACTATGATGTGGTAGGGGTGGTATACTGTAGTGATGGTGGTAGTGGTGGTATTTACTGTAGTGTGGTGGTAGTGGTGGTACTTGCTGTAGTGATGTGCTAGTAAAAGTAGTGACTGTAGTGATGCTAGTAGTGGGGGTTTACTTCTGTGTGTGTGTGTGGTGGTACTTACTGTAGTGATGTGGTATGATGCTGGGATTTTGGGTGTTGTGGCAGAGATTGATGCAGGTAGCGGGGTATTATTGTGGTGATGTGGTAGTGGTGGTACTTGCTGTTGTGATGGGAGTGGTACTTGCTGTTTGTGTGGTAAAAACATAAGAACATAAAAACGAAGGAACATGCAAAAGGCTAGGGCCATGCGGGCAGGTCCAGTCTCCTCCCGGTTAACCCAATGCCCCCCAAACCTAGACAGGTCAGGTCACATTGATTAAAAGGGAGGAAACGGCAACCGACCTGTTGCACAAGTTCAGGTCTAACTCACCCCACCACATTATTTTCTGTATTTATCCAACTATTTTTAAAGCTACAAAACGTTTGGCCCTCTAAAACGGAATTTGGGAGTTTTTTCCCCAACTCATCCAAAACTCTATTACAAACCAGTATTTTTCCTTTTCCCTTTCCCTGATCAAATTTTTCCCAACTTAAACCTTTGCTGCGAGTCCTGTTAGGCTAGATTTTTTCAGAACTATTTAATCCCTTTATTTTTCCTGTCTTCCACTTATACCCCTCAATCATACCCCCCCAAAATTCTAGTTTTAGAGAGTGCATTTCGGGGCCCCTCAGTCTATCCCTGGGAAGGGTTTTTGATACATGGGACCCTTTTTGTCATCCTCTTTGTCTTTTTCCAGAAAATTTTATATCCATTTTAAACGGTGCCAAAAATGTGCAGCAAAAATCTAAATGGGGCCCCAAACCCAAGGATGTTAGATTTGAAGAAAAACCTGGGATCCTATTATTTTGCTTTTGATATGAAGCCAAGGATTTATTGCTTTTTGCGAACCCTTATGCATGTTGTCTTGGTTTCAGTTTTACTGCTAACCAGAACCCTAAATCTTTTTCGCAATCCGAAATATTAAGTTTCTACTTTATTTAGTTTTATGTGGCATGGTTATTGTCCTGTCAACATTTGAATTTCTTTGTCTATTTAAACTGCTCTGCCATTTTCCCGCCCACTGATCAGTCTATTCAATCTTCGGAGTGCTCAAATGCCCTCGTCAAAATGAATTCGAGGGCCCTTTTTTGGTGTCATCGGCAAACTTGCGATGTGCTCTTTATGCCTATCTTGTGTTATGTAGATTGGAACAGCAGGGGGCCCAACACTGCCCCGGTGGAACACCGCCGTGACGTACCCCCTCTGATTTCTCCCATTTATGAAAAAACTCTGCTGCCTATTTGTAACCCATGCTCTTCCAGGAAAAAATTTTTTTCTCCTTTTCCATGGCTTTAATTTTCCTCAAAGCTTGATGTGGGCCCCCTGTAAAAAGCTTATAAAAGTCCATAACAAATATCAAAATTTTCCCCTGATCTACCCCCAAAAATCCCTTGTGAAAAAAGTTAAAAAATTTTAAAGGCAGGAATGCCCCTTTGTAAAACCATGCTGAGATTCGTGTTATTTATGTTTTCAAGGGGCTACGAACGCCTCGGAAATTATTGATTCATAAATTTTCCCACTAGGAGGTTAGGCTTATTGGTCTTTGTTCGAAGCAAAGGGGACCTGTCACTGTTTTGAAAATGGTATCAATTTGCCTTTTTCCCATTATCTGGCACCATCCAGTTTGTAGTATATTTTGAAAAGTTTACCCAAAAAGGTTTGTGCTAAGCTCCTTTTTTTTTACATTCCCTTTAAAACCCTTGCTACAATTCATGGGGCCTGGGGATTTGTTAGGTTTTAATTTTATCTATTTCCCAAAGGGACATGCCCCTTTGTGCCCAAATAGTGCACAGTTTTTTATCGCCCTGTTCTAATAATTTTCATTATAAATATCGCTGGTATCCCCCTGTGAAAAAATGAGAGGAAGTATGTGTTAAAAAATTCTAACATTCCTTTATCCTGTCAGTGAGTGACCGGGGAAACTTTTGAGGGGGGGCCTTTTGTCCCGATCTTTTTCTGTATACTGAAAGAATTTTTTGGGTTAGTCTTCGATTCTCTTAAAATTTTAACCCTCATAATCTCTTTTTGCTTTTTAACCCCTTTTTATTTTCTCTTTAAACTGATATACGTTTCTTAATTGCCCCTCTCCTTTTTGATTTGCCCAATATGCCTCTCTTTTGACCAATCAGTATTTTAATCTATTGTTCATCCCTTTAGGATCATTTTTGTTTGATCTGATTTTCCCCATTTGGAACATAATTTGACTGAGCAGCTAGAACATGCCCCGGAAAGCTATATCGGCAACCCTACCCCCTACCTGACCTTAGTGGTCATTCCAGTTCAGCCCCCAAAATAATTTTCAGCCTATAAATAGCCAAGCGAAAGTCAGGCGGAGACTTGATTGCCCTTTTAGGGGGGAAAAGATATATTAAAAAATGAGTGATTTTGTGATCACTTCCCCCAAATTTCATTAAACCCCAAAAATTATTAAATTTGTGTTTCCCCACTGGGAAGAACCCGTCAAGGAGGTTATTTCCCCTAGTTGGCTCTGTCACAAACTGTTTTAAAAAACAATCTTTTGGGGTCGTATCAAGAAAGTCACCCCACTCCCAAAATTTTCCCGTCAAATTGCTCAGTCAATCTGTTATAGTTGAAATCCCATTACACAACATTTTGTAGTAGATGCCTTAGAAAATTTCGCCCCTGAAGTTACTGCTCCCTATCAAGATTTGGGGCCCTGTAATCACACCAAAATTAGTTTTTCTCGGCCCCCGAGAAACTGTAACCCAAAAAGATCAGGGCGACGCTTCTAAT